CCAGTTCTTGGTTCCCTTAGTCTCAGCTTTCCCCATGCAGCTGCCACAGTGGCAGTTGTTGTCTGATCATCAGCTGATTAAGAATCACAGCTAGTGTCCCCACTCTCACCACTTTGTGAAATGCAACACGCCGGTCTTGACACTGCAAAGTTGACAGCAAAGCCAGTGACAAAAACTACTCTCAATGGCAAAAACTGGTATTAACCATTGTATACTGCATGTGTATACTATATACTGTATGTGTCGTCAACCTTGAAATAAATACATCTCACCTTGAAGGGCATAATGGGGGATCCCACCAGATGCATCACACCTAAGGCATTCTGGGGGACACCGCCAAGTGTCTCTCCACCCCCATTACTACACAGCCCCCACCCGGCTGGCTAACTCTCCTCAGTAACTACAGTCACAGCAAAGTCTCTTATGCATTGGGGGCTGTCCTGCACTGGCACTGGTAGCTCCTGGGTGGCTGGTAGAGAGGGGTGGGTGGGTCCTGCTGCAAGGGAGCGTGCAAGTGCAGGGTCAGACCTCTCCAGGCTGTACAGGAACCCCCACCTGTGCTCCTTCCTATCATAGCTCCTCTTGTACAAGCCATCGCTGGCACACTAGTCTCAGTGCGCACCCTCTTGGACTCCACCATACCCTGGGAGGTCGACCTGGAAGAGGTATGCTGGCAGGCAGCAACAAGGTTAGATATTGACTGGCCCACATTGCATGATAGTAAAGGAGAAGAGAAAGATTTATATGATGGTAAAATCCTGCCATCTCACCAAGCTCTTGCCAAGCAGCTCATGCTTGCTATCCCAGTGTGCATGAAGGAGCACAGGTGGGGGTTCCTGTACAGCCTGGAGAGGTCTGACCCTGCACTTGCACGCTCCCTTGCAGCAGGACCCACCCACCCCTCTCTACCAGCCACCCAGGAGCTACCAGTGCCAGTGCAGGACAGCCCCCAATGCATAAGAGACTTTGCTGTGACTGTAGTTACTGAGGAGAGTTAGCCAGCCGGGTGGGGGCTGTGTAGTAATGGGGGTGGAGAGACACTTGGCGGTGTCCCCCAGAATGCCTTAGGTGTGATGCATCTGGTGGGATCCCCCATTATGCCCTTCAAGGTGAGATGTATTTATTTCAAGGTTGACGACACATACAGTATATAGTATACACATGCAGTATACAATGGTTAATACCAGTTTTTGCCATTGAGAGTAGTTTTTGTCACTGGCTTTGCTGTCAACTTTGCAGTGTCAAGACCGGCGTGTTGCATTTCACAAAGTGGTGAGAGTGGGGACACTAGCTGTGATTCTTAATCAGCTGATGATCAGACAACAACTGCCACTGTGGCAGCTGCATGGGAAAAGCTGAGACTAAGGTAACCAAGAACTGGTCATGTAGCCTAAACAATGTACATCTATGGGGCTATGGGGGTAAACCTGTTAACATGCTGTACTGATCAGGTTTTTGAGCATTAACCATTATAAAATAATGACATCATGTGTTATAAAATTCAACTCAAATCAATGCAAGTGAAAAACAATAGTAATAATTATATAAGGGAAGAAGTAATTTTTTTAGACTAAGATTAGGACACACAGGACTTCATTCAACATTATTCATTATGGAAAAAACAGCTTCAGATAAATGTAGTACTTGTAATTGCATAGACACATTGTTTGAGTGTAGGAGATATACTCCTGAAAGCGAGTGTATAAAGAATAGAGTGTTAGTCTTGGATAGGGAATGGAATAGTAAGGGACTGTTGGAGATAGGGTATAACCGACCATTGGTACAGAGGGAAGTATTATCTGATGGAGACAGGTCTTATGTATAGAATATAATCCACTCATACTGGAATGGTGTTACCCTCTCCATTGCAGTAGGTGACGCCATGCACTTTTTAAGTTGATTTGTATCCCTCTTTTTAATATAAGAAGAAGAAGATAACCCCGCCTCCTGCTCTACCTGGCCAATAGCAGCAGCTCATACTGTTTGCCGCTAAAACCAAACTCCTCCAGTGTTTGCCGATTACAGACTGTATGGTGGATACAGATTAATGGGAAAAGTAAGTTTTAAGTCGGAATTCAGTGACGAGTTTAACATTAATTATATTTGCTAGTATGTTATATTTGACTCACAGCTTCCACCAGCATCGGTCGCAGCCAGCGTAATGTGTTGTTGTGTTAACGTTACAAACGTAAGACAAAAGATGTCTTTCAAACCCTGTTTTAGCCATTAACGCTAGCTGTTTGTGAAACACCGCTCTCCACTTAAAAGAAACGTTATCGTGTTGGTACGGCGGAGTTCAACATGTATGCCTTATATAAAAAAATCTTTTATTAGCTGACAGCTTATATTTTTATGTTTATTTCCGTTAACGTCACCTGAAAATCTCAACGTTAATTACTCTCTCTCGTGTTTTGGTGGCTATATAATTAGTATTCCAGTTTTACAAGTGTAACTTTAGCAAGTTAAAATATCCCCATTCCACTATTTATATCAGCGCACGGTCTGACAGGATCAGCACATCCAGGAGCCCTCGGCAGGCAGTGGCATTACACAAACAGATGATGCGGTATTAAACTGAGGACCTGATGTTCGACATGACGTCTACGTAGTTATGTGGTTCCTTCATCTCTAGCACAGCTGGTGTGTGCAGTGGGCCGCGAAGGGTCCTCAGGAAGAGACCGTGTCACAGCTCAGCCGCTGGCTCAGGGTTTTGTGTCATAAATAACAGCTATAGTCTCATATATTGATGTGTTATTCCATGTATCATCAATTAGCTTTGTGTTTGGACTACAGATTGAACCTCTAAATGTGAAGAATGAATAGTCAAGCTTAGTTTCTTTTCAAATATGTGACATATAACAACAGAGATGTTGTAGATTTACAGAAGTTCAAAACAGTTGCAACCATTTACGCTCAAAGTTAAGTGGTGGCCAAGGTGTTGAATTCAGCTGAGGACCTGGTCAATAATATATCTGTAAAAACGTAAATCTATAAGGTAAAGTCCATTTTGAGGAGACAATTAAAAGAGGACACTGCCTTTTCCTGGGATTGCTTTGCAGGAAGTTTCACAGTCAACAGACCAGACGGTAAAGTGTCTAGATAGCAAGCTTCAAAAAGCCCAGCAGACCCATAGCCGGGGTCCCATCCATGCTTCTTGTCATGATCAGGCCCTGTTCAGAACATGTCAGTCACATTAAAAGCCCATTATCAGTTAGAGTACAGCAGCTGCTTCACACAAGCAATGAGATAGGTAAAAAATAAATACAATTAAAGACTGAGCTGTATACAATACAAAATGTATAGAAGAGAAAAAACACCAAATCTAGAACCATACCTAGACTGTATGCACTGAATATGTGCTGTACAATAGTAATCTGTTGAATAACTGTTCTAAAGCCCTGCGTGGTAGTGGAGCGTCTGTATGCAGCTGTTTTGTCTTGTCAGATATGCAAATGTAAAGGAAGTGACCGGGTGTTCCTGCTAACTCAGCCGTAGCTCTCCTCCATACTGATGATGTCAGCTATATGTTAGAAGAAGACATTATGAAAATGACCTATTTGGTCATGATGATGACTGTTGTAACGTTTCTTTAGTCTTTCACTAACATTTTGTCTTATTTCTGTGGCTCCTTGGCCTCTGTTTTGATGAAGTGGAGATGCTCAAACAGTGTCAAAGAATGTTCCGCTCACTGCATGCAGTTGATTTTAAGTTAATTTAATAGTCAGGTGGTTAAGATATAATTACAATTTGGGGTTTTTTCCATACATTTTAAGCTTTCTTTGTAATTTCAAGTACACTCTGAGGAATGATCTTATTAACAAGGTGCTTTGCTGGTGGTGGATAGACATTTTCTCAAGTGTGGGCATTTGATTTTATGAGTGTGTTCCTGATTCTATGACAGGTTTAGAATCAGCATTGCTCAGTTCAGCAGCTGAAAATGGGAATCCCTGGCCTGCTGCAGTTCATCAAAGATGCAGCAGAGCCCATCAATGTGAAGAAGTACAAAGGCCAGACGGTAGCTGTGGACACGTACTGTTGGCTGCACAAAGGAGCGTTTTCATGTGCTGAGAAGCTCGCTAAAGGAGAACCGACTGATCAGTATGTATTTGTATTCTTTTAAATGAATGACAAAGAAGAGGTTTTCAGATGTATATCAGTATCAGTAAACCATCTCATTTGTATACTGCATTGTGGGTTAAATGTCCAGAACTGACACTTAATTTTAATTTGTTCCATCCTAGGTACGTGTGGTACTGCATGAAATTTGTGGACATGCTGTTGACCTTCAGTGTCAAACCGATACTGGTATTTGATGGACGCAATCTGCCTTCCAAACAAGAGGTGGAAAAGGCTCGCAGAGAGTGAGTATGTCAGTAACCTCCCTCCAGATGTAATTAACAGGTGTATAGAAGCAAAACATACGAAAAGGTTGCCTTCTTTAGCTTACAGTGGGTCAGGAGTTGGATCTGTTGTGATTTATTACATTCTGTATCTACTGGTCAGAGTAAAAGAAAATGTACATTGTGAGTTCCAGGGGCAGCGGTTAGCCTGTCGCCTCACAGCAAAAATGTTTCAGGTTCGAGCCTGGGCTGACCCTTTCTGTGCAGAGTCTGCATGTTCTCCCTGTGCCTGCGTGGGTTCTCTCTGGGTACTCCAGCTTTCTCCCACAGTCCAGATACATGCAGCTTAGGTTGACTGGTGACTCTAAATTGCCCGTAGGAGTGAGTGTGTGTTTGTCTGTCTACATGTCAGCCCTGTGATAGACTGGCGACCTGTCCAGAGTGGACCCCGCCTACCGCCTTGTGTAAGCTGAGATTAACTCCAGCCCCCCCCAACGACCCTGTTCAGGAATAAGTAGTATAGATAATGGATGGATGGAAAGCAGCTCACACACACCGATAGACACTTTATAGAGGTCAATATGATATAATGAGCTATTTATCATATTTTCAAAGCAAATTAGTAAACCAATAAAAGACTAATCTAAAACAATTTACAGATCAATCAAAAATAGGGTGGCTATGGTATGAGAGATTTATGGTAAGATAACCATATCAGAAAATATAACGCTTTTACAGTATCACTGTATAACGCATTAAATATTGTTATCAGCTACAACAACTCTTACAGGAATGAAAAGAGAACTTTCTTTTTACACACTCCCTGACCTTTTATGTTACTTCTGTTGATGAAGAAACATTTGTACTAGCTGAATTTGCATTAAATATTATGTTGATGAGAAAAAAATTCTTAGTTTTACATTTCAAAGTGAAACCTTTGCATCCAACTGTAGAAGACAGGGATTGGGCTTTGAGGAAAACGTCACTAAAATAAACTCCACAGAGAATACTACACCCACAAAGAAATGTGACTAAAAGAAGATGGAACTCCACTATCATATGTGTCTGAGTACTCATCATCATCGTCATCATTATCCTTTATTAGCAGACTCAAGGTCCATTCAAAAAAAGAAAGGATATAAAAGAAGAAAAAAATAAAAATCATAAAAGACATTTATACCAATGTTTCCACAGAG